ATAAGGCGCACCGGACTATAGGGCGCGTTTTTTATATACAGGTACATGTCCTCTACTACCTTTAAATACCTCTACTGCGTATTTAAAAATACAGCGGGGGCAAAACTGAGTATGACTGTGCTTTATTCATGTATTTATTACAAAGTATTAATCAAACCTGGCAGCTGGCCGTGAGACAGACACATCGCAGATGACACAGCGCTGTGGTCACTCCTAAATTAACTTAAAATCCTGAAACCTGCCGACGGAATATGTTCGCTTTTATTACCGGTATCCTGGTGCCTGCAGCTAAAATTATTTAGATGAAAAACACCTGCCAGCAGCCGCGGTGAGGCTGCTGTTGAAGGAATTTACTGTCGGTGCACCGCTGGTATGTGGGGGTCTGAGCGCCTCCGACAGAAATAGATAATCTGGATGAACTGACTGCAATTATTAAGTTTTCAGGTGGCCTTTCTCACTTAAAAACATATTAAAACTACTTTATTCCAACTGATCACAGCAAATATAGCTGCAAGATTTAGATTATTTAGATGAAAAAACACCTGCCAGCCACCACGCTGAAGAGGAGGAGACCCGCCCACAGGCTGCTGTTGAATTAAGCTTTCAGGTAGAAAAATAGAGCGGGAGCAAAACTGAGTATGATTGTGCTTTATTCATGTATTTATTACAAAGTATTAATCAAACCCATCAAAGTCATCATCCTCTGTTTCTGAATTAAACAGCTGCGCTAAATCAGACATGCCAGTTTCCCCATCTGCGCTGTCAGAGTCACTTTCCGTGCAGCGCAGCTCCTCAGAAATAATGCCGGCTTTTGCAAAAGCTTGAACAACAGAGCCAGCAGACACAGTCCATCTACAATCCATCCGCAAACGGTGGCGTAACTTGCCCGGCGCTGCCTTCTTATCCTGAAACTGTGGTCTCCGTCGGTCATCCATCGCTCCCACGCCGCTTGCAGCCTTACTTTGAACGGCCGCTCCACACCGATGTCGAGCGGTGGAAGCTCCTTTGTCAGACCCCCGGGATAACGGCGAGCACAGCGTTCATTTGATTCATCTTTTTTTCACATCGGCTGTGATGGTGATGCGTGGAAAAAACCACCTAGTCTTCTCAGATACACCTGCCTCAGCCACGCAACCACCCGGCCTTTTTCATCTAACATCATATGTCATCAGAGCGCTGTCTGTCTCGCTGTCAGCTCCCAGATCAGCTTCTCTGATTGGTTGATGCGGCGCGTCCAGCAGTAAAACTTCAATTTTTCCATCTGAGCAGCAGCAGCGCGTTGGCGGTGCGTCAGATGCTTAAACGCTCCCGACGTGCTGCACCAAAACGCGCTGCAGGACCTTTTGCTGCACCTATACGCGCGTCAACCATTGACTTTGCATGATAACTCGCTGCTTCTGCTGCACCTGCTGGGTCTGGTTCACACCGATGTTGAGCGGTTGAACAGCGAGCACAGCATTCATTTGTTTCCCCATGTTTTTCACATCAGCTGTGAGATGGGCACGCATGGAGTTACATATTAACAGCGATGGTGAGGGGTGGAAAAAAAACACCTGGTCTCCTTACATTCAGCCACTCTTTCATCATCTCCTCAATGAGGTGGTCTCAAAAGTCGCAGTTACAACACACATAAGGCGCACCGCACCATAGGGCGCACCGCACATTTTGAGGGAAAAAAAAGACGTTTAACTGCGCCTTATAGTCGTGAAAATACGGTATTCACATTTTGAACAAAGCCAACAGTGTCTAAGATAGCATTAAAGGCTGCTCTTAAGCTATCTCCTTCAATGTCAGCATGGATGTTAAAATCTCCCACTACGATGATCCTGTCAGTATTTAATACCAAAGCAGAAAGGAATTCTGAAACTTTATCTAAAAATTCAGAGTAAGGACCTGGTGGACGATACAGGTCCTTAACGCACAATATTTCTTGCGTTAAAATTTGGATGGGGGAAATTAAGGGTTAAATGTTCAAAAGAGTTGTAATTATTAACTGGAGTAATCAGTAAGTCAGACTGAAAGATTGTTGCTACTCCTTCTCTTTGCCCAGAACTTCTGGGTATGTAAAAATTGAAATAACTTGAAGGAGTTGCCTCATTTATGCTCACATAATCCTCTTGCTGCAACCAGGTTTCTGTAAGGCAACATAAGTCAATGTGACTATCACAAATTAAGTCATTAACTAGCAGACTTTTAGAGGAAAGAGATATTATGTTAACCTGTTAAAACCCACCGGGTTGGACCTTAAGTGGGGGTATTAATTCAGAATGCATAAAATTCCACCAGTAAAATTTTTATCAGCAGGTGGAGCCATTGCGCGCAGCTCCAAGCTGACACCAAAAGTTCCAATCCCCACAGCTCTGGAACTGTCATAGCTAGAGGTCTGAAAGTTTCTGCATTTGTGGTTGACATGATGTAGAACATATATAATGCAATAAAACCTGCTTTTTCTCAAGAATGTCTTAATTACTGCTGTTCATTTCGAGTATTAACTAAAACAACTTTGAGTCATGTTTGAACTGATTCAGGTTGGTCTGTGTTCCACTCATGCAAGTTTAATTTATATATTCAGACACTAGAGGGTGTTAGCATTCAAATAATGTATTGCACTTGTAATTTGGGCTTACAGTTCCTAAGTTATTTGCTTTTTCATTTTGGTGTGCAAAATAGGATAGGATTACCCAAAATGAGCTGGATGTTAGGAGGTTAAACAGACCACATTTAATTGTTTTAAATTTTTCCCCAATTGGAGTTATTTTAATTTTAATTAGATTATCATGATTTACTCCTTTGGGAATATTTGCTAATTTATTAGATTTCGGTTGTGGGCAAGACACTGTCTGGATGGAGTAAAGAGTGGGTAACAGTAGAGAAGCTGCAGAGATGTGTGTTAAACTACGACTCTGCTTCCTGGTCTGCACCCTGGGTGGTCAGGGTTTTGGAGGACTAATAAATGTGGCCAGATTCCTAGAAAGAAGAGCTGCACCATTCAAAGTGGGATGGATGCCGTCTCTCCGAATCAGACCAGGCTTTCCCCAAAAGGATTGCCAATTATTAATGTAGCCCACGTTGTTTTCAGGACACCACCTAGACAACCAGCGGTTGAATGACGACATGCGGCTAAACATGTCATCACTGGTCAGATCAGGGAGGGGACCAGAGAGAATGACGGAGTCCGACATTGTTTTGGCAAACTTACACACTGAAGCAACACTAATTTTAGTGACCTCCGATCGGCGTAACCGGGTGTCATTACCACCAGCGTGAATAACACTCTTGCTGTTTTTAACCTTATCCTTAGCCAGCAGTTTCAGTTTTTGATGTCGCCCGTTCTGGCCTTTGGCTATGGTCCCTGGTGTCTCTAATGCCACAATTAAAGGTTGATTTAAATTGCATTGTTCAACTGTGGAGTATTTGTTCAGTCTATCCAAAACTGCATAAAAATTTAATGAAAGAAAGGTTTGGAGTGCAACTTTTCTGTTTTCTCAGATTTTATTTTCTATTTTTTTCAGACTATTTTTTTCAATTTCAGTACCTTTTTTTTACTTACATTTTGTTTACATTTTTTTCTGGTATTCTATATGTCAGATTTTTGTCAAATTTCTGTTTTCAAACTAGAGTTTAGTAAATTGCAGTCTTTTCTCTTCATTTTCAGCCTAATATAAATACTCCCATTGACCAATATAAATGTTCCTAACGTCCATGCACACCAGTAACCACTCTAGAGGAAATCCCAGAAGTAAATGTGATTTGTACAATGCAGTTTAAAAAATGATGTAAATCTGTAAAACTCAATGTGAAAAGAGTCATTTGAAAAATTTATAATAATAAATAAATCTGAAGATTTTGAAATAAATGTAGTTTCAAACTAATTAAAAGAATACGGTTCCTGATATATTCAGGGTTTTTTTTTGTCTTAATCTTCATAAAAACAAGCTGACTCTTATCTCTGCTCTTCACCTACATGTTATGAACTTGTTTCAAACCAAAACTTGAACCCATATCTGATGGGAATGAGGCATTGTGTGTCTATGAAAACAAATCTAGGAGCTCAATGTACAGGAACATTTAGTGCTCTGTCTCCATCTACTGGCAGCTAGGTTATTCTGCATGCTTTTATTTTTTATATTCATAATATATATATATATATATATATATATATATATATATATATATATATATATATATATATATATATATAGATATATATATAGATAGATATATATATTGCTTTATTATTTGTAAATGTGTGTGGAGAGTTGTGTATCTGTATCTTGATTTGTGTGTGTGCAGTGGGATTTGAAAATGTGTAAATGAAACTGTAAATGTGTGAGGAGATTTGTGTGTCTTTGAAACAATCTGCAAATGTGTAAAATTACTGTGTGTGAAATCTGGTTTGCAAATGTGTAAAACATCCTGTTTACACTCTGTTTACACTTGATTTTTGCTACACTTCTGCCGTGTGAGATCCTCAAATGTGTAAAGGATTTATATGTGTAATATCTGGATTTGCTGCCCTTAGCGGAGACTTACAGGCTCACAGGTTGCCTCTTCCTGCTGAAGGTGTTCAGCACAACTTGCTGCACCTACACCCACATACCACCAGGTTGTATATATATATATACCGGTATATATATATATATATATATATATATATATATATATATATATATATATATATATATATATATATATATATATATATATATATATATATATATTATATATTATATATTTTTTATATATTTTTTATTTATTTATATATATTTACATATATGTATGTTTATTTATATATATATATGAAATATCAATTCTGTTTTTTGTGCAAAAAAACCAAAAAAAAAAAAGGTATGTAAAACAAACTGTTAGCATCTTATCTGCTGCACTGAAATTGGTGTGTTTACTACTACAGCCCTTATTCTCTCCGTGTCAGTGATCCATATTACATCACATGTATCATCATTTTCCAACAATGTCTGTTTGTGCATCCTGTTTTGCAGAGGCGGGCTCCACCGACAATGAGGAGCGGGTTTTCCGGCAGCGAATGCGACCCAGGAAGCGGCAGGGAGCGGTGCGGCGAAGGGTCCACCAGGTCAACGGGCACAAGTTCATGGCCACCTACCTGAGACAGCCCACCTACTGCTCTCACTGCAGGGACTTCATCTGGTCAGAAACTCACAGCAAAACATCAAATTGACAGAATTTATCGAATAGATGGATGAAAGAAATGAGCTGAATGAAGATCATACTTTATTTCCTACCAAGTGAATGCTTTTCTTTTCCAAACCAAACTGGGATCATTCATGTCTGGCACAGTGCAGCTGAAGCCTTCACCAGGCTCTTCCTGGTTTCCTGCTTTATGAGGCTCCTCATAAAATGCTGCGTCTGTAGTGAGGATGCTGAGCAGTGAGGATCACACACAGATCCAGGGTTAGGGTTAGGGGGTTATTCACATTAGAAATATTTCTTAGATAAAGTTATTGTTACAGCTAATCATGGATCCTCCTAAGAACATTTCAGCAGAGTTTTTATGAATGAATCTTAATCTGCGCTGCAAGCTTTTCAGAGTTAAACCAGGTACAATTTAGAATTTTCCTCTCCTAAGCTCTGGATAGATGGTAATGAGAGGCAAAAACGTTTTTGTTTTGTTTTTTATCTTGAATGCATAATATTTCTACATTTGTTTACTAGTTTTGGTATAATTGCTGTTCTAAGATGGTTGTTCTGTCAGCTAAAGGCATGTTTTACAGTCTCTATACTCCAGTTAGGGATTAATCAGGTATTTCACTAATAGATTAATCTGATGAATTGCTTCTGCCATATTTTTCTGAGAAATAAAGCACCCATGAATCAGATCCAGAACATTTCATGTCAAAGAATCAATCTATTTACAAATGACACATCCTTCTGCAAATAATTTACTTTTAGAGAACTGTAGCTTGATGGGCTTTTTTAAAATTATGTATCTGGTGGAAAAGAAAAGTCTTTAAATGATCATTGTCCAAAAGGATAACTGGTTTATGACGGCCTTTTGTTTGCTCTCCTGTCCAAAATGATTACCTAACATTCACTTGTGTCTGTCTTTCTGCAGGGGTGTGTTGGGGAAGCAGGGCTATCAGTGTCAAGGTAATGTCTTTATGCGTATCACTTTTTGCTTGACAAACTCCTCTCTCTGTTAAGAAGCAGAATGGAAACAGACACTGGTTTAAATGCTGTAAACGCAAACAACTGATAACCGCCAACATAAATACAGATATTTTATCCAACATGGTCAAATTATGGGAAAATTTATTTTAAAACATATGTAATGACCATGTAATAAGCCAGGCTATTCTGCATTTATCAGTTGATAGATATATGATTATTCATATATCTATGATTATTTAGAAATGAAGAGTGTCGTTTTTTTGTGTCTCTGCTGCAGTTTGTACCTGCGTGGTCCATAAACGCTGCCATGAGCTCATCATCACAAAGTGCGCAGGAATGAAGAGGCAGGACGACACAGTTGGAGAGGTAGGAGATGATGACTTTGGTTGATCTGGATGATTATGTGGATTTCTGAAGAAGGATCAACACATACCAGAAAGTGCCAGAATTAGCCATGATGGCTAGTTTGAAGCCGTGAGCGACACGCGTCCGATCAGGAATCTGAAATGAGTTTTTGAACTGCGGTTCGTCTCGTTCTTCTCACAGCAGGTCGGGTCTCAGAGGTTCAGTGTCAACGTCCCGCACAAGTTCAGCATCCACAACTTTAAGGCCTTCACCTTCTGTGACCACTGCGGCTCCCTGCTGTGGGGTCTGCTGCGACAGGGGCTGCAGTGTAAAGGTACCCAGAACCCTGCTTCCCCTTATCCTTCCTCCTCCCATATGATGAACCTGTTTCCTCTGTTCGTCTGTGTTTCAGTTTGTAAAGTCAACGTACACAGGCGATGCGAGAGAAATGTGGCGCCAACTTGTGGCGTAGACGCTAGAAGGATCGCCACAGTGTTGTCAGACCTCGGACTGACACCAGATAAGATCTCCAACAGCGCCCAGAGGCGGAAAAAGGTCTGCATTCACTCAATCCATAGATTTTATTCAGACTGAAGCTAATCAGCTTCTATTTATTGTCTACATTCTAATAAAGGTAGCCATCCATACATTTCAAGTTAATTTCTTCCTAATAATTTTTTCTTGAAGAGCCGAAATGTTGTGATCTTGCAGATCGGGCAAGACTGCTGAAATAAATCACATCTATTAATTAAAATCACTTCTAAATTCATGGAAAGTTAGGTGGACGGTAAACATGCGGGGAAGATGCTGCACCATAAACAGTTCTAGGTATTATAAAGTGAATCTATCTAATTGTATTACTATTGCTCTCTATTGCTATGGCAGTAAAGTTTAACCCATTCTTTCCAAACTTCATTCTGTCATTATTAATCTCCGCCACCAGAAAAAAATATCATAATTATTGACATGAAGAGTAGTAAGTCTTTCATTAGGAAAAATAGATTATTGGCATGCAGAATTTGAACATTTGGCACTTACAATATCATAGATATGGGTACGATAACAACTTTCCAATTGTCCTAACCTTGGCGTTGAAATGGCGTTTATAAATGGACACGTCATGAAGCTTCACCGGCTGGGAGCTACATAGTGCTAATGCTTAGCCACTACTCAACCAGAACAATCACCGGGATCTTACCTGTACTGAGAAGGGAAATGGAGCGGATGTTCAGAAGTCCCAAAGAGGGATTTAAACAAAGAATCGCCTTATGATTAATTGTTGATTAATTATAACCATCAAACTTAGATTATATTTTGTCTAATACCATTAACTGATTAACCCTGCGCTGAAAGCTGGATGGTCACAAGATCTGAGTTTTCAGTCTCACAGCAAATCCATCTTGAAAGACTCCAGCTAATACGTCCGTGTCGTACCAACCAGAGAGTCAGACCAATGACCGGCCAGCAGTGTTTTTAGGGGCGGGACATGTAGGAATGATGACAGTCAGAGGGGCCTTGTGTTACAAATATGGCTGCGCTGGAGGACTCACCTGTTGTTACAGCAACCAACTTGGTTTTAGCTAAAATAGCTACAATCTCTCATTTTAAAAAAGGAGCAAGAGAAGCACTTTGTGTATTTGTTGATGGGAAAGAGTCAGTGCTTTTCTTCTGATAGAATTTTAATTTGGCAGGGTACTAGCTGGCCGTCACCCAATCAGCTCATAGCACTGTAATAAACGTCCGTCCTTAGAAAGACAGACAGAACTGCAGCTATTCTAGATAGATCACCTTGAACTCAACTCTACACACATCAGTCTGGCTGATGCCGGGTTACTGACTGATCATGTCTTTTAGTGCTGTAGTTTCACTACTGTCCACTAGAGGGCCATGGTGTTTATTTAAAGGCACACTATGCAACATTTTTCAGTTAATTAATGTGTTCCATAACGTTTTGGATGATTAAATGAGTCATTTCAGGTTGAACAAAGGTATTCTTGGCCGCCCTGGTGGTCTGTGGGGGAAATATCGCACTTGCAATTGCAGGAGCCCTCGACCCGCACCCACAGGCTCAGAAGTCTCGCGAGAGTCGGTCTTGCTTTACGGCGAGAACTGCTACACGCCCCCAGTTAAAAGCATGCTCGTTGCTAGCATAGTGGCGATCTTTGTGCAGTTATCATGGCGGAACCAGCGTGAAAACAGCGAAAGCAGGCAAGAAAGAGGAAAAGGGCTCCGGACAGAGAGAGGAGTCGTACACGGGTGAACATCGGGCAAGCTTTTTCCGAATTGCGAGAGCTAAAATAAAAAGAAGGCTGCAAGGCTGACGCGGACCTCGCGTTTCTGCTGATGTGATTGTAAGTAACATTGGAATGGTTTCTCTCTCTCTGTGTGCATGTTCATACTTTTACTGTGTTAGTCAATCGTTGCGTTCGCCTGTCTGCTAAGCTCAAAGCAACCGCGCCTGGCTTGACGGAGAAACCAGGAGAACAGCTGTGCATATTTACGACAGTGCACTTTTACTTTCGCCCTCTGGGGGGAGCCTCGCTGGAAAATCAACACCGGTTGCATAGTATACCTTTAAAGTGGTGCCTTGATTATACCTGCAAGAGGAGCGATGTCAGAACGAAAGGATACCAGAGCAGAAACAGGAAAGGATCCAGAGTCCAGTCTGGATTATTTTACAGTTTAATGGAGACAAAAATGGAGAACCAACCTGGTGTGGTTCTGTTTGTTATAAAAACACTGGATTAAAGGAATACTATTCCTTTAAGGTGATGGAAGGTGATGATAGAAACATGGAAACTAAACAGATATAGGATGATAGAAAGAAGCATGCCAGCAATAAGCACAGTAAATATGGAAGGCTCTATTTGTTAATGCATTTCTTAGAACTTCCCTCTGATAGATCCAGAACCAGATCCAGAATCAGATCCAGGACCAGACCCAGAACCAAATCCAGAATCAGATCCAGAACCAGATCAAGGACCATATCCAGAACCAGAACCAAATCCAGAACCAGATCCAGAACAAGATCCAGGACCAGAACCAGAACCAGAACCAAATCCAGACTCAGATCCAGGATCAGCACTAGATCCAGGACCAGACCTAGAACCAAATCCAGAATCAGATCCATAATCAGATTCAGAACCAGATCCACGACCAGATCCATAACCAAATCCAGAACCAGATCCAGAAATCCAGATCCAGAACCAGATCCAGACCCAGAGATCCAGATCCAGAGAACCAGATTTGGGACCAGATCCAGAACCAGAGATCCAGATCCAAAACCAGATCCGGAGATCCAGAACCAGATCCAGACCAAGATCCAGAACCAGATTCAGAACCCTATCCAGAAATCCAGAACCACATCCAGAACCAGAATCCCTCATTTGAAGGAACGTTTCTCCCAGCAATAATAAACACCCTTTAGTGCAGTTCGGTGTCTAATAATGTGACAGAATGTCACAGTCCTTCAGAAATGATGTTTGATATATTGTATTTATTGATTCTGTATCTTAACAGGCTCATTTTTAATATTGTTAAGATATTTCTAAAGTGAGGAAAAACAAAAACTTTTTTTGTCTTTGCCATCAGTATCTAATGCAGCTGCCTCAACTTTATTTGACCCCAGGAAGTTTTCTATGTTCTGGAAAGTTTCTAATGATACAGAAAAAAAAACCAGGAAAATGGCCTTTAATCAATTAATTTATACGATCAATCAACTTTAGATGAACTCATTCATTTATAAATTCCATCTTTAGCCTGGAATCATCTGGTGAGATAAAAATAAACATCCATCATCCATCCATCCATCCATCCATCCATGCATCCATCCATCCATCCATGCATCCATCCATCCATCCATCCATCCATCCATCCATCCATCCATCCATCCATCCATCCATCCATCCATCCATGCATCCAATTAAGGGGTGCTGGTGTTTTTCTGCAGCTACAGGCCAGAGGTGGACAGGTAAAAATAAAATAAATAAATAAACTTTATATTTGGAAATCAACGTCTCGCACTATGTGGTCTTTTTTGCAAATTGGGCTTTTAAATAAATTCAGATTATTCAACGAATTACATGTTTAGATGATATAGTAATCTAGTTCCACCTGTAAATAGATTAACTTTGTCTTCAAGCAGGCTCGCCAGACCAGGGACCCCCAGCAGCCGCTCTCAGATACTCCTCAGGAAGAAGAGGACCGCTCAAGGTCTGCCCCTACCTCCCCATGCGACCAAGGTAAGGGAACGTCGTACCCATCGCATCACTTCGGGATCTAGAAAGAAAGCGTTGAACGAGGCCTCGGCTGTCATCTTTCCTTCGCCTCTGCTCAGATGTGAAGGAGCTGGAAAACATCCGGAAAGCTCTGTCCTTTGACCACCGCGGAGACGAGCACAAAACACACCCGCTCTCCACGTCCCTGTCTGTTCCAACCATGGGAGCAGAAGGAGGGAGCGGCGCTGGAAATGGAGTAAAGGAAGAGAGAAGCCAGGAGAACGGTGAGGTCAAAGGTCACAGCTGCCCACAGACCAAAAGGATGCACCTACATGATTACGTGTTCATAAAGGTTCTGGGGAAAGGAAGCTTTGGAAAGGTTGGTGAAAGATTTCCAACCACTTGAGAAAATAAAAGCAAGCTTTCCCCCTGGTTTCTGAGCGTGGCATGTCATGTGATCAGGTGATGCTGGCCGAGCTGAAAGGTACCGACGAGGTTTACGCCGTCAAAGTGTTAAAGAAGGACGTGATCCTGCAGGACGATGACGTGGACTGCACCATGACTGAGAAAAGGATCCTAGCGCTGGCCAGGAAGCACCCTTACCTGACACAACTCTTCTGCTGCTTCCAGACTAAAGTAGGAACACACACACGCAGAGACACATGTGCTCCACCAGGGGGCAGTGTTAGACCATATTCAAACTGACGCTTCTGTCTGAGTCTGGTTCAAACCTTTGATTATTTCACTTACATTATTTAACTTATAACAATAAAAGAATAAAACAGGTCTCTCTGCTGCATCTTTAAAATGAAAAAAGAAAACAGAGAGAAAATATTTTCTCCAGGCCTTTGAATTAAACATTCCACCACATGTTGAGGTTTTACTTCCATGATAAACTATCATAACAGCAGATTGGAATGAAGATGCTCTATGTTTTGAGGCTTAAATTTAATTTGTATATCAGAATTGATGTTTTATTTTGAATTCCCAACGAGAAAAAAAAACACCAAAAATACCCTAATCAGAAATCTAAATAACCTAGACTTTATTTCCCACTAAAGTTATGTTTACAGAATGGCTAGTATAAGATAACTGCCCCCACTGGGGACCAGTTTGCCTTTAATTACAGGTTAGTGTGTTTTTAAAAGGTCAGTGAGTTTGACAGACCCCTGCAGGTTCCTCCTGGTACTGCACCACCAAAATGGATCTGGAGGGAAAAGCATAACTGGTGTGTGAGAGAAACCAGAGGACTGAGATTTTGGTTTATTGCTACTAGCATGAGAATGAGCACAGATTTAATCGTCTTCTAACCCTCTGCTGTTGCCTAACAGTCCAACAGGCTGCTGGTAGTTCTTAGTGGGAAATATTCAGCGGTTTATTTTATTGCATTCAGTCATCCGTCCTTTTGTTGTCAGCGTCTTGTTTTCTCCCCTCCTCACTGCTACAGCTAAAGCAGACCACAGTTAAATAATTTAAATTATGACATATAAATAATTTCTTTTCCATTTTGATGTAGAATTGTAAACTTTAAAGTTTTTTTGTTTTTTTTGTTTTTTTATATGGTCGTTGACCATCAAATAATGTTATCTGGTAGCCTAGCAAACTAGCCCCAGCGGCAAAAATTAGATCAAATTCGATCAACGCCCTAGAACTGGTGGGCCAATCACAACGCAGGGATGTGTTTTGAATTTCTGGATGCAAAGCGGGCGGGGTTTTGAGGGCGTGACGACAAAGCTGCACGACGCTGGAGAAAGCACAACAAGGAAGATGGCAACAACTATTGAACAGTTCTCGTTTGAATCTGCTTTTGAATCAGTTTTGGAAAGATTAGACTTGGAGTTTTCGTTGAAATGTGAGCAGGAAGAGGTTCTACGCTCCTTCACTTTTAAGAAGGACGTATTCGCAGTTTTACCGACAGGCTGTTTGTTTACACTCCCCCCCCCAGCTTCCTGATGGTCAGTTGCGCTCATTTGTCAGAGTGTTGGTCAATAGGCACAGACATGGTTTGAAAAGCACCAGGTTGTTCTCATTAACAATCTTCAGATGTCTCAATCATCGGGGCCAGACTAGATTACACATTTAATCTCACATTTAGTCTGGTTTATCAGGTTAGTTATTTGTTTGTTGGAAAAAAACTTTTTCTTGTTTTTAAACTGAACTGCTGAAACTAAAGTAAAATTTCCAGGTGATGATTCCTCTAGGCTTATAGTCTATAACCAACCGTAATGTGACCTACTGTAGAACACATCTACGCAGTGAATATTACTACCTAAATAGCAGGAGATGTTAATTCAGTGTAAAATTATTGTAAACAAAAGTAATTTTTTTTTAATATGGTCAATTATTAATAGTGGATCAATCATTAAACAATCATTCAATTCTAACCAATTCACCAGTTGAGAAGATGCAATTGAATTAGTGTCTTTTTGCTGTTGATGGAAATGCCAAAATCAAAGTGGCAATGCTAAATGTTGTTTGCTGAAATTTAATATTAATGCCATGTTTAATGTTGGTTTATTATGATGTAGACCTTTCAGCTGAAACTTTTCTAAAAGTTAAATATTTTAATGTCAAATATTCATCAACAAACATTGATTCAATATAAAATCAACACAAAAATAATGGTTGAACCAACATTTCAGTCAACAACGTTATTTTGTAGAGTTTAAGTTCGTCCTCCATTCCCATATATTGTTGCTATCGGCTCCAAAGTTCAAACTGAAGCCAATCAGTCTAAATTCTGCTTATGGAAAATCTCTCTAATTCTCATCCCTCTGGAGGTTTTTCAACTTTATGACTAACTCACATAACGAGGTTATGGATGGACATGGGGTCAAACATTCATCAGGATCACAGTTCATCTTTCAGAGTCTAGAAACGCCTGCAGAGGTTTATTAGTCACATTTACATTAGAGCATTTTTCCACTCAAACTATAGGAAAATTAAAATGAGAGAACTGCTTTGTTCTCATTTTTCAGAGGATGTACGGTAGACCCCCCCCTTCCGGACATAGAGATAGAGGGGACTTTCCTGATGGTTTAATGAGACTCAACCTCAGTCTCACCGTAGAAACACGCGTTCCTGTATCACAAACAGTAATGCTGCTAAAATTAATTCCCTTTAAATCCTTACAATTCATTAGCAAACATGGGATCATGAATACCAAATAAATAATCGAGCAGACCATTTGATGTGGTATCAGAATAAAAGCATTGCCTGTTGGTCAGCATAGAAAACTAAAACTGAAATAAAAATCAACTTACAATATTTTTGTAAAGTATATTTTGTTGCTCCTATCGACACATTTACCGTAAATCCTCTAATATAGGACGGGGCCTTTATTTCACTCAGGCTCATCTTGGTCCAGGCCATTATTGGAAGGAAGCCAGAATCAGAGGCAGGCCTTTATTTCTATTTATTCAAAACAGAGTACCAATGGAATGAATAAAAAACTGATTTTGTGTCTCTTTGAACCTATAAAATACTAGGTTCACTTATTGAAAAAGTACAGTTACCATAACGGTATACAGAACATTATTCAGACATCTTCCAGTAGCAATTTTCTGCAAGGCAATACAAAAAAAAAGACACAGAATGGAATCTCGGCCAAACTGACTGGCAAAACAAAGTAAAAAAAAAAAACTATTGTGTGGCTGTCAATTTCTGTCATAAAAACAAAACAAGCCGGTCTCCTGTCTGCGGCACTGTCTGCTCTAAGGATGGGACTTCCCATGCTAATGGCTTGGATTTGTTAGCAAACATTGCCCAGCTCTGAATATGAACAGTTATGCTTAAAATACGTTTCAAATACGGCTCAGTGAATTAATAGGAGCTCATCTTTCTTCATCCCCACTTTCAGCCTCATTCCCCCCCCCCCCCCCCCCCCCCCCCCCCCATCTTGTTCGAGTCAGGAAACGTACAGCGCGTTTGTACATTTATGTAAGTGTTGGTTGCTGGCGAACCGTGTTGGTGTTTTTCTTTTCATTGTAACTTGAGCCTTACGGAGCGACACTGTTGCTGTTTTTTCTTTCCTTTATGGGCTGAACAGGTGTTGACCTTTATCATCAGACTTTCTCTACAATAACAGTCAGATGGAACCTTTAAGGAACCAGAAGAAGAATCTGGAGAAAACCAAATAGTTTTTGTTATAAGGTATACGTTAGATTTATAAAGCGCTGCTTTTCCTAAACTTTAAATAAAATGTGGGAATAGCTCCAATAAGAATATAATCTTTGCCTTCATGCTCTGGGTGATTTATGTAATTACCACCTTTTTACTGGAAGCAGTTAGAACAGGCAGCAGTTTACATAAAAGCAACGCTGCGTAACTTTTGACCCAAGCATTACTTTAAAATGTATTAAAGGATTTTTCAGGTTCATTTTTAATGTGTGCTGAGGCTCCCTGCAGGCTACCCAATGAGTCATCTGACCCAGAGGCAGTCTGAGCTCCCCTCAACCAGATAAAAGGAAGCTAAAAGTTTAGAACAGAAATGACTCGTAACTGACATATTTGTGGTTCTCTGATGCAGGATTTATTCTAGAAGGAGGAGTTGGATTTACCAGTAACTCCATGACTTCTGGCTCTGCTGCTCTAAAGACGTCTGCTATCTGTATCTGCTGAACATAAATAATGAATATTTAAATTCAGGAACAATGCCTGGTTATGAGCAGCTGCTAAACCTGGAGTTACAGGTATAGCGCCCCTAGTGGTGACGCTTTGATAAATGCAAAAAACAAGACCCGAGAGAATTCAAGAGTGTTGCCAAGTTCATCATAAAGACAGTACAAAGTCTGTGCATGAAATAAATGCAGGGAGGAAAGTATTTTAATGAACTAAAGAAAAAAAAAAGTTAAATATTATATTGACATCTGTTTTTCTAATCCAAGTGGATCATTGGGAGCTCGGCGTGACTAATTCTCATCGGTAGAAAGAGTAGAGTTGCTCTTCTCACTTTGACTGAAGGAGGCCTTTCTGTTGAGTCTAACCGCCGTTTAGTGCTTTAGAGAAGGGAGAGGCTCCCAGCAGCCCTCTCTGCTCGCTGAAGACCGAGGCTCCCAGCAGCCCTCTCTGAAGACCGAGGCTCCCAGCAGCCCTCTCTGCTCGCTGAAGACCGAGGCTCCCAGCAGCCCTCTCTGCACTGAAAAAAAAATAGAGGTTGACAGAACTTACATTTTCTAGGCAACGTGATGCATTTGGTTTTTTGAGTTTTCCTTACTTAAATTCACTGTGGTTGAGTTTACAAAGATTTTTGAGTTCTGCCAACTTAGGTTTTTGGAGTGTTACATAGAAATTTTGAGTTCTACCAACTTAGGTTTTTGAGTTTCACCTTTAAGTTCTGAGTTCTATCAACTTTGTTTTATGAGTTTGACATATAGATTTTGAGTTCTACAAACTCAGATTTTGTAGTGTTATCTGCAAGTTGAGTTCTATCAACTCAGTTTTTTTAGTCCTACCAATCGTCTTCACTACCAATCATTCAACACACAAAAAATTATGTTAATACAACATTTTTATTGCTTCAAGCCAAACATTGCATAGATACAGTATAAAACCATGTTCAACAACATAATCTTAACTGCACAGATCAAAGTAACATGACACTGGACCAGAATGTTCTAGATTCGTAAGAGTGATGA